AGAAATGGTTCATGAAAGGAAGAGTCAATTGATGCTGCAAACTCCATTGTCTTAGTTTGAGAAACTGCCACAGCCACCCCCACCTTCAGCAACCAGCACCCTGATCAGTCGGCAGCCACGAACATCGAGGCAAGACCCTCCACCAGCAAATGCATCACTACTTTCTGAAGGCTCAGATGGCGGTTAGCAGTTTTAGCAATAAAATATTTTTAAATTAAGGTATGTATTTTTCCTGGACATAATGCCATTGCACATTTAATAGACAACAGTATAGTGTCCACATAACTTTATGCCATTGGGAAACCAAAACTTTTGTGTGACTCACTTTGTTGTCATGTTCACTTTGTGGTGGTGGGCGGGAACTGAGCCCGCGCTGTCTCTGAGTTGTGCCTGTACACTAGGTGTGCCCGTGGGAGGAGAGGCGCTCAGGAGCCTCCCAGGTCACCATCTTGGCCCACTCCTCCCTGCCCACTCTTGCAGAGTACTTTCCAGGCTTCACGGTGAGGACAGATATATGGGGGAGAAAGACGGAGTTGCCATTCATTCAACAAACATTTACTGAGTAACTCTTATGTGCTAGGCACTGGGGCTCATAAAGACAGAGCAGGGACAGAACTTGCACGGAGACAGTTCTGAATCTCATGAAAGAGACAGGGAAACAACATTTCAGTGTGATGCATGTGTAACAGACGTAGGTATAGGAGTCTGAGAACATGGAGGAGGTGGTGAGGTGGGCAGATGGCTTTCATGGAGGAGGTAACATATGATTGGGGTTCTTGGAGGTTGAACAAGAGTTTGGCAGGCAGGGATGGCACACTCCCGTTAGACAAAGTAGATTTATTCATGGGAGAGAGTGGGCAGTGTTCCCAAACTACTTTGATCAGGTGCAGCTAATGAAAATAATTTCCTGTGTAGCCTTGGACAGCACCATAAAAAGTCTGGACGTCTCCGTTTGCCTTCCTGTTGAATAGGACGAGTAACAACAACTCCTCAGAACCCCTGGGAGAGTGAATCAATCTATGTGGTTTATAAGAGCAAGTGTTTACTTATTAGAAAGCCTCTGGGGGGTGGGGGGGGACGTGGAAGGCAACCAATGCGGGGAGGAGAAGGAGCAGGCGCGAGCGAGCAGCAGCAAATGGAACGTGGACTCTCATTAGCCTGTGAAGGATTGATCTTCTGCCACTGATTTCCCAAACCCCCAGCAGTTGCAACTTAAAGCTTGTTCAATATTTTAAAACCAGTTTAAAACCAAGTTTTGAGTTTGCTTTTCTTTTCAAAGTGTTGCATTAATCAAAAAATGCATTAAGTTTAGGGTCAAGCAGCCTAACCAATGGGAAAAGCCTGATGGGGCCCCAGGAGACGGGGGCTTGGCGGGCTGGATAATACAATATCAAAGACCAGAAACTGCTCAGCTTTAGAGGGAGGACAGTGGAAAGGAACCCCAGACGGCAACAAGGAAAAAAATCCTGCAAATGAATTGAACTGAAAAGAAATCTGAAGAAGGCTAATGAGGGTATTTTGTCATAGTAGCCAAATTCAGACGGGAGAATGCCTTCAGTTTCAAGACGGGAGGCTGTGATTTGATTTTTATTGTTAGATGTGTGGAGAGTCATTCTGTCAAAGATTTCAAGTCTGTTGGGGTGGCAGAGGGCGTCCATTTGGAGATCACTTCCGTTTCAGAGAAATGCAGGGAACAGAAAAGAAACTGGTTCTGTTAAAATAAAAACCCTTGGTGCTCTTGCCGGATGGAATTGGCCCTTTCAGTTCGATGAAATAGCTTGTTTGGTGTATCCCTTTCCACGTCCAAGAGTAGCTAGGGTTGGAATGAGGAAATGGAGACTCGGCGAAGCAGCCCGTAGGGAGTGTACTGGTTACTCTGTGTCCTTTTCTCCCCTCTGTCGCGGCCTGGAAGGCGAATCCCATGGGCTGTGACCCTTGGACCCCAGCTGGGTGTGGCCATTGGGAGATTTTAGTAAGACACCCGAGGCTCGGAGAGAGAAGTGGAGATGTCTGTCCTCACTCCCCACCTCCCCACTTTGGGACCACTTCCGGCAACGCTGGACCTTCCGTGATTACGCCTCCTGTCACGAGCTCCTCCTTGGCTCTAGCTCTTGAGGTTAGTCCCCGTGTAATGTCATTTTCTTTTCTTGTCCCTTCAGGCCTAGGGCAGCCATGGCTCCCCACTGATGCTGGACTTGGAGGCCCTCCACATCGATTTTGGTTCTTGCGACCCTTGCTCACCACTGTAGGTGAGCCATGACCCTTCAACTAAAATCTCCTCATGCACCCATCTGAATAGGGGTCTTTTTCCTGCGGGACCTGGAATGGATCAGAGACTTAGAAACAAATGGCAGCAAAAGCCCCCAAACACTAGTTGCCTTCTGTTCTCAGGCAATAGGGGACCAGCAGACTTTTCCAGTTCGGTTGGTCCATTGGCTTTGTTTTCAAATAAGAGGAAAAAGGCTCAGTTATCAGGAGCTCCAGGCAAGAAGGAGGCTCATTTCAGGGAGATCTTGTGAGGCCATCTCTTCCTAAATTTTCTTTCCTCTTCTGAGGTTTTTATCACACTGATTGTTTGTGCAACCCCTGCTGTATCTAATAAAGTAATAAAAACTCCATGAGAGCAGGGACTTTATCCCCAGAGCCTAGAACAAAACGTGACCTGTTCCAGGTGTTTAATACTACTGAATGAATGAAAGAATGTCTTTTTCTTTACAGATGCCACTGCGGACGGGAATGCTGCCTACCATTCCAGTAAAAAACAAATGTTGCCCGAAATCAAGCCATTCGGCACTGCAGCTCCCCCTCTCTCTCCCCTCCCCCACTCCCAGCGGTGGACCCTGAGGGGAATTCAGGACGGAGGAAACCAGACACACTGGGTGCTCTGCATACTGGCTCTACACAGCTAGGATGCATATCTAAGGGATAATTTCAAAGAGCCCAAACTGTTGAATCTTCCTGTACATAGAAAGGCACTAAAATTAGTAACTCAAGATGTTTTTTTCTGTGTGTGATTAGCAGTAATCTTTTGATGTTCCACTACATGTTTTTTTTCCCCCCTGGCAAAAACTCCTATATATTCTGGCTCCTCCTCTACCTCTTCAGAGCAGTTCCTCAGAGCTATCTGAGAGGCTGTCTCCCTGCTGTAGTCCTCAGAAGGTGTCCAAGTAAAACTTAACTTGCAACTTTTGCATTGGGCGTTTTCTTTCAGTCGACACCACCATCATTCAACAGACATCTATCAGATGTCTATGCACCAGACACTGTCTAGGGAGGGAAGGCTGGGTAGATCACAGCCCACGCAGTGCCCTCTGCTGGAATGTGCTTGTCATCTCTATCCCACTGTCCTCTTGACAAACTCCAACCCACCCTCCGTGACTTTTCTAGGGACGCATTATACAAAGCTATACTCGCTAAACTTTATTCTAGACTACTATTGTCATTATTTACTTTCCTGTGAGTCTCCCCTGTGGCTCCCCTATGAGCCCCTGAAGATAAATGTCCTTATCTGCATTTTTTTTCAGAGAGCAGGGCAGATGCCTGGCCGGTGCCAGGGCTGGACGTCTTGTCCGCTCCTCGATGCCATCTGCAGACTCAGGCTTCTTGATACTGGTCATCCGCACTTCAGGCTCTGACTTTCTGTCTCCCCTATTTCTGAGTTTCTTTTCCTTTTAAAATCTGGGCGACCTCAATCATTAGAGCCAAGGTTGGTTGGTTCCTCTGGACAGGAGAAGGAAGGGCATTATCGAGTGGGTCTGGGACCTGGGCAGCTTGAGGTTAAGCAATGCTCTTCTTCGCCTTACTGCTACTATTTTCAAATAAATGGATGTGAGGGCAGCGCTTCTCGGAAGGCATTGTCCGCGTCGGTTGTCATGTGGATGTGAATTGCCAGACCACACCCATCCCCCCCTCCAGCTGCAGCCTCTAGTCTAGTCCAGCCCTTCTGGCCCTGAGGCAGGTGGATTTCAGGGTCATTATTATTCCTGACGTCAGCACCCAGGAAGCTTGCATTTGAACACCCCTGAGCTAAAAGAAGTCCACAGAAATGGCGATTCAGCCCTAAATCTACCAACGAGCTCCCGACCAGCATTTCAGTAGCTGCTGGGAAGATCTGAATTCACTAATTACGTTTATTTAGTTATGCTAATATGGAGTGAATACATCCACAGAATACCTGATAGAGATTCACTCCTTTATGCTCTCATTTTAGAGCATTCAGATAGTTAAAATTCTCTGCTGTGAAATTAAAATGTTCTGGAATTTCTGTATTTATGTGGTTCCTGTCAATAAAATGACTAAAGGATTTATCTGGGTGGATTCGGTGTTTATACGCTTGTTAACATCCTTATCAGGAGGAAAATAATGAGCAAATTCATCAACTGTGCTGAAGGTTTTACTCCTTTCCCCTAAGGTTTGGTTGATCATAATTAATAAATAAAAGACAATATATTTGCATTTCCCTAAGCCTGATATAGCACGTCGGAGGGTGAGGCTCAGTAAACACGCTCTTTACCTAATCAAGACTGAAATGTAGTTTAGCACAGCTCATGATATGGCTAAAAAACAGTGACATCCTTGCATCATATAATAAATCCATCATGTCATTCACGGAGACGGTTTTCATCAAAGATTCTAAACAAAGGCACTTTTGAAAAAAAATAATGTGAGTTTAGTATTGATTTCTCTGATTTAGAGGATGTTAAATTGTTTCATCTCCCTTCTAATGGCTCCTCTGATCCTTATCCCTGCTCCACAGACTTCTGGGAAAAACTGTCATGAAAGTAGCAACACACCCCACATGGCCAGTGGGGCGCCTGCAGCTCCACCCGAGGCAGGGAGTGGGTCTGCAGGGACTGATGGCTGGGAGGCCGGAGCCCACTTCATCACCGTGGCGGCAGGCGACTAGTCTGGTTTTGATTTTTTCCAGATTGGAACCTTCGAAAACAGCTCTTGTCCCTGACCCATATCCTGAGCCCTGCTTTAAGGAAGAGGAACTGTACCTGAGTAACTGCTCCCGAGGCTTCAAACAGGGCGCTGCATTCACCTTCGTGGTACGATTCCTTGCAGTCCCGGCAAAAGACGAGCTGTGGGGGAACACACGGGTGTTAGAGGTGGGGTTGCTGGCTGCACTTGGTCTCAGCACGCTGCTCTTTTCCAGGCTCATTATATTCATGCCTCTGACTTGGGTGATGGTTTCTGTGCCTAATTCCTTTTTGTGCAAAGAGAAATAAAGTTCTATTTTGATGGAAGTATTCACTCTTAACTAAAGAATGTTCCAGGCACTGTAGCAGGGTTTCAAAATTGAATGAGTCACATTTCCTTTCTTCTAGATGTTTCTAGCCTAGCAGAGGAGTCAGTAATGCAAAGAAATACCTGTAGTAGAATGTTATTGGTATGAGAATTTGAGGAAAACAATTTCATTTAAGAATTTCATGTCTAATCTTTGTTTACATATGCAGAGGATTTATACATCCGTGTTAATGGACTTATTTTTGTATCAAAAGCCAATTATGGAAAGAAGAAATGGGCTGTCATGGGTTGACTTATGTACCCCACAAATTCATATGTGGAAGCCTTACCCCCCAGAACTTCTGGATGTGGCTGTATTTGGAGACAGGGCCCTTAAAGGTAATTAAGGTAAAATGAGGTCATTAGGGTGGGCCCTAGTCAGTATGACTGGTGTCCTTAGAGAAGGAGATAAGGACACTGACACACACAGACTGGGACATGACCATGTGAGGACACGGGGAGAAGATGGCCAGCTGCCAGCTGAGGAGAAGGCCTCAGAAGACACCATCCCTGCTGACCCCCTGTTTGCAGACTCTTAGCCTCTGACACCGGGAGAAAGATCATTTGTGTCGTGGGAGGCCCTGGCTGGGTGCTGTGTTATGACAGCTCCAGGAAGCCAACACATGGGCTGAAATGGATTCCCCCGACACACTGGGGGACCATGCTCCTTTCCGTATTCACAGCTCCTTTCAGAAGAGAAGGGACCCAGGAGTCACCTGCCCTCCACTTGTCACCTTATGGAGAAGGAAGCTGAAAGACGTCTGGAATCACCAGGCCCCTCCAGGACCGACTTCCAAACCACCAGCCCTGCTCTAAGGGCTGCTGTGGTGGCTGAGGGTGTGGGTTCTTCTGTTGGACGCACTGGGTTGGGAGGCATCACCCTGTCACCTGCCAACCAAGACACCCTGGGACAGCCACCTTGGCTTCTGGGCGTAGAGTGTGATAGCATTCTTATTCCTTTTCAGAGCAGAGAAAGAATCCACATTTTGTGGGATACACTTTACTTAAGAAGGTTCAGGTTGGTGGCAGATATGTGTCTGTGTGTGTCAGGATGTCCTTACAGAAACCACTAGTACCACCAGCTTTTAATTTCTGACATTTAAATTTCCCCTGAAGTGAAAGCTGATTCAACAAACAGTATACAAACTGGATCTCAGAGTTCCTTCTTAAAGGATTTTTTTTTTAATTGTGTCTGCTCATCTTTGGGTTTGCCTCAAGACCCATCCCCCGGCTCTTATGCGCTATGTTGAAAAACTGTGGACCGTATGGTTCAATCATTGAGAAGAGCTGCTGTGTGATTTCACCCCTCCACTTTCCAGGGAGGCAAGTCTGATCTCTCGGCGTGACAGGAAAAACGCTTCACATCTTATTAGCTAGTGGATGAGATATAAAATCAGTTTCATGGTAGAGGAACACCCTGGAGGTTGATCAGTTTGTCAGAATAAATAGGCCTTTCCTGACACAAAGATATTAAACTCCCTCTCATGCTGGTACTACCGAATGGACTGTAGAAAAGAATAACGGAGAAGGAAGAGCATACAAAAATTAAACCCTCACCACTTCAGGATGGCAGGAGGCAAGTGAAAACTGCAAAAATGGGCTGGTGGTAATTTAGCATGAACGCACTTGCTAATTTGCTTCTATTCAGAGAATATAACAAAGTTACATACATCAGGCCATGGGCTTCCTAGGTAAATAACTCAGATCTGTCTCACACAAACTGGGGAAATAGCCAGAAGGTCTGATTTGATCTTAAAAAAAAAGGTTCAGGTTTTTAATGAAGATACCCAAGACCCAAGACTGTCAACCAGGTGCTTGTACAAATGCTTAGGCCCTCAGTTCTGAAACTGTGCACCAAGGAGACCTGGGGTGCCACAGCGAAGTCACAGGGGTGCAGTGGGACCTCGTACATCCTTGAGGGGAAACACAGTGCCACTCAGCATCTGGTGGACACTGTGAGTCACTCACTCAGGACAGCTCATGGTGCTAATGGAGATGGCGCTGCCTTCCTTGTGAAGACATCCTGTCTGCAAAGCTGGGTTTTTGGTTACTGTGATAAAAACAGACAACTACTAGGTGAATATCCATTTGGAATATGAGACGTACTTACTTAAGAATGAAATTAAAATATTCTTTCTTTCAATTTATGTGAATTATTTTTTTTCAAGTGACTATTAAGTTGCTAAGATATTAATTTTTATTATGTTCTTTGGACCTAAATATTTAATAAATAGAACTGCTAGGCATTTCTTTTGGGCTAGAAGCACCAGGAAAATCTTGTAGAGACACTAAGGGCATGGTGAACAGAGGAAGTCTGGGGAACTCTGATTAGGCAGATACAAAACTCCTTGAAATAATGTTTGGGGTCTTTTTGCAAAAACTCCCAGGGACACAGGCATTTCCTGGGAACCCGGGGAGAACACAGATCTGGCTCCAGCGTTCTCTCGCTCACTCTGCCGACCTACCTGCCTCCTTTCCGGGGCACGTGGGTCTGGCTTTAACTAGTGACGTAGAAGGCCACAATTTACCAGGGGCGTATGAGTCATTGCCTGTGGGCTCACACTTGCTGAGGCTCTTTGAGATGCCTTATGAGTCAATACGAACTGGATGGAAGAGACTACCACACATTTATACTGTATATTTTTCCTGGATTATTTTCTTTTGAGAAAAATTTGACAAATGCCACCAATTTCTGCAGTTTTTTAAAACAGAATTTCTTTAAAATCTTCAAAAAATCATTAAAGTAAAACACACTTATTCCATTGGTTCTTTAAGCTCGATTCCCTTTTTAGATTTGATCAAAAGCAACATATACGGACGGTATAATCTTAGTTCCTGTGATGTTAGTTTTACGGGTCAAGGTGGCCAGAGTATTGCTCCTAGTTATTCAATCAAACACTAATCTCGGGGGCTTCGCGGTGAGGGTATTTTGCAGGTCTGTAAGATCTAGAACCACTTTAAAGAAGGGAGGTGGTCCTCGGTGACATGGGTGGGGCTGATTCAATCAGCTGAGAGGTCTTCCGAGCAGAACTGAGGCTTCCTCAAGAAGACAGTCCACCTGTGGACCACGGCTTCAGGCTGTGCCTGAGAGTCCAGCCTCCCTTCCAGGCCGCCTGCCCTATGAACCTAGGATGCACCCAGACAGCCCCGCGTCGCATACGTCAGTTCCTTGCAATCAGTCTCTCTGTCTACAGACATACAGATACATTAGATACAGAGCTACCTATGCACATAAGTGTACACTAAATACCTAGCATAGCCATGTCCTAGATATTTATCTATCTGCCTCTAGATCTGTGGGGACAGCGGAGCACGTCTAGATGTTCTGTGTCTATGTCTGTATGTATATGTGTATCTCTCCTACTGGTGCAGCCTCTCTGGTGAAACCCTGGCTGACACAGCTAAGCTCCTATAGGAAACACTTTACTAGGTCAGTTTATTTTCACTAGGTTAGTTATTCTTTTGCAAAAGGATTGACATAAAAAAAACCCCACTATTTGCCTTTTCTATGTTATTTGAAAAATTGTAATTCAAATCTTTTCCCCTATTGGTGTTTAATCCCAAGTGCCCATAGGATGATTCATTTTAGAACGCAGCACCAGGAACAGCTTAGTCACTCCCAACAGCGTGATGGTTCCCCTTTATTTGACAACGAACATGGTGATTCAGTACATTTTTGTCTTTGGCGTAGCTGCCTGGGAGGCTGGTGCCAAACTTTCCACTTAAATGACTTCATTTTAAGTTAAATTACTGATTACTCACTTAATTCGCTCATCTTCCTCATCTCTGATGCCTAAGATGAAGTACACAATTTTAAAGCAACTATTCAATAAAGGATAAGTTCAAAAAGACAAACTTGTTTTTTCTAATAAGCAATAGCCAAACAATTTTGGCAGTCATATTTCTGCCTTGCAATTAATAAATGTTGAGTATTTACTTTTAGGATGAGTAAAACCTTGGACCTGGACCAACACACGAAAGAACAACGCATTGCAATACGTGAAGTTGCATAGCGACATTTACATTTTAAACCATCAGATAGACTTTAGTGTTTACAGGAAGTCAGAGCCGTCTGGAATCAGAGGCCCTTCTCTACTATTTATTATCTGTGTGATCCTACATCTCTTTGCTTTAGTTTTTTGCATCTGTAAAGAAGAAATAACAAGATAATCGATATTTAACTCAGTTTCTGGCACAGGGTAAGTGTGAGAAATGGTTTTCTCATGGAGTTACAATGGTTTCTAAGCAGTAAAATTCTACAGAAAAGTAAGGAGTAAAGCACCTTATTCGTTCCCAGGATACGGACAACCACTTTGTTACAGGGAAGCCTCGAGTGAAACTGAGGGCCACCTGGGACGTGCCCAGCTCGTCAACTCCCCGTAACCACTGCAGAGAGAGGGATGTGTCTGCTCTCGCTTGGCTCCTGTTTGAGCAGAGGTACTGTCACTGTCAACCCCCTTAGGAAGTCCTGTGCCACCACACAGCGAGATGAACCTACTGTGCTATCACTCACGGTCACGTCAGATCGATGTTTGACTTTGATTTCCCATATGCTCATAACGGAGACATTTAAAAGGAGACAGATGTGTATGTTCTCTTTGGAAGCATAAAAAGGAACCCAATGAACAGGTTCCAACGCAATCAGAACATTCAAGTGGCTGCTGATCAATAAACTTGAGAACCAGTCGGTACCTCCAAGTGACGACCCTAAAAATAAGGGTTTGATCCTTAAAGTTGAATGATCTCTATATGAAAGCCCAAATTTCTCTGTGCTTGTTTCCTATCGCGACGGCAT